GTTTTGAAGTTTTGAAGTTTCACAAAGGTTTGAAGGTTTAAAAAGTTTGAAAGTTCAATTTGAAGGTTAATCGAAAGTTATTTGAATGCTATTTTGAAAGTTTTTTGAAAGTTGCTTTGAAGGTCATTTTGAAAGTTATTTGAATTTCATTTTAAAGGTTGATTTAAAGTTTGAAAACGGTTAGAAGTTTAGTTTAAAAATTGGTTTGAAAGTTATTTGAAGTTGTTTGAATGTTGATTGAAGGTTATTTGAAGAATATTTGAAAGTTATATTGAAATTTCTTTGGAGGTTGATTTGAATGCTCTTTAAAAGTTGGTTAAAAGGTTGATTTAAAATTTGAAAAAGATTTGAAGTTTAAAAAGGTTTAATTTGGATATTAAAATTTTTTGTAGTTTGAAAAAAGTTAGAAGTTTTGAAGTTTCAAAAAGGTTTGAAAATTTAAAAAGATTTGAAGGTTTGATTTGAGGTTTATATTATTTGATTATTTTTTTTGAAGGTACTTTGAAGGTGGATTTGAAGGTTTTATTTGAAAGTCATTTTAAAGGTTGATTTAAGTTTAGAAAAAGATTTGAAGTTTAGTTTGAAGGTTGGCTTGAAAGTTATTTGAAGGTTATCTGAAGGTTTTTTGAAGAATATTTGATGGTTATTTTGAAATTTCATTCAAGTTTGATTTGAGGGTAATTTCGAAAGGTATTTAAAGGTTGGTTTAAAGTTTGTTGTAAAGTTTGAAAAATGTTAGAAGTTTCAAAATATATAATTTGGAGTTTAAAATGGTTTGCAGTTTAAAAAAGTTTTGAATTTCTTAAGTTTCAAAAAGGTTTTAAAGTTTAAAAATATTTGAAGGTTTTATATTTGAGCTAAAAATTTGAGTTAAGTGGTCTTAATTTTAAGGACTTGATATGGAAAAATTGATTTCAAGGTCTTGAGGCCTAGACTAAAGGGACACAATTTGCTGGATGGAACTCTTCATGGATTTTGAGATCCTAATCCTAAAAAAATTAAGATACTATAAGGATGATAAACAAGTGAACTAATCTAAATTTTGAGTATATCACTCTGAATCAAGATTAGCTTTTCTTTTTCATTATCCTGACTTCATCAATATTTTTAGACTATTAACTAACTAGATAAATAAAGATCTTCACTATTACCATAGTGATGGTGATTGTTGTTCTTCTAAACAACTAGGTGGTTTGAGGTGCATTCGTCTGTAACTATGCGTTACTTCACTATAAAAGGGTTACATGCTTGTTGTTGTATATATCCTTATCCTTAGCAATAATTAGGGTTACCTAATAGTCTAAAATAAACTTCAAGAATAGAATTTTTTAGGGGTATGTGTGCTACTATGTTTAATTTAAAAGTTGGCTAAGCTAGGATTTACAGTTTATCTTCTTAGTGGTGCATTTCACTGTTTAAATTGGTGAATGTTAGATTTTTTTGTGGGTTTGATATATTTTTTTTAATTTTAGAATGTAGTTATTTATAATTTGGTTGAATCTCCTAGTTTGTCGATCAACAAATAAATCAAGTGTTCTAGGTTCAATATTTTGCATTTGATTTTTTTATTCTAAGTAGTTGTTCTCCATTGAGTTATTACTTTAAGTTTAATCTCTATTATTGATTTACTATTCTATGTTGAAGTACACAAATCATTTCATGTGCATGTTATTCAAGTCTTTTATACTTTCATAGTTAATACTTATGTTTATTCACATTCTTTAATACTTATTTTAAATATTTTGTTCATATACCAAATATAATTTTAGTAAAAAAATAATTTAATCATAAAAGATATTTTATGTATTAAACTTGTGGATGGGTCAAGTATTAGATATACAAGTATAATTCATATGCATAACTTGTAAAACATATAAGAATTGCACGACTTATCTTTAAATTATATGTTCTAACATGAGAGTTTTCACAAAGAAGTATAAAACCTACTTAAAAAGGGACGTAAGATTAAAGTATTGTTTTGAAAATATTTTAATTATTTATGCAATTTTTGAGGGGTTGTTGTTAAGAGAAAATTTTAAAGTTTTAATTATCTTAAAAATGTTTTTAAATGGTTTTAAAAAATTAAAAGGGTTTAGATGACACAAAGGTTTAATTTCAAAATTTAAAATTTTAAGATTCTAAATTAAGTTTTTAAGATTCTTTGTTTAGCATTTTGAATTATTTGGAAAAATTATTTTAATTAAAGATTAATTTAAAATTTAAGGTTGATTTAAAAGTTAAGTATATGCTTTGAATTTTAAATTTATGTTTTAAAATTAAAGGATTATTAATAGTTTAAGGGTGATTTGGATATCTTGAATCTCAAAATTGAGTTTTAAAATATAAGGATTTAAGAGTTTCAAAAGTTAAGTTCTAAAATTTAAGGTTTAAAGTTTAAGAATTTAAAATTGTTTTAATTTTGAATAGTTTGAGATATATAAAATATAACTATGTTTTATTTGAAAACAATCTTTGAATCCTTAAGCATGAAATTTTATATAAATAAAAAATTATTTTAAATCCTTGGAGCATGTTTAGATGAATTTTACTAAAAATAATATTAAGTTCTTGGAGCACATTTAGATTTTCTTATTAAAAAAAACTCCATTTTTTTCATAGAAATTTTCAAATATTTCATTACCTAAGTGTGTAAACTCTCATGATGTAAACCTATAAGTTTGCAAGCGGTCTTATCTTAGCCCGATGAAATTGCAAACCTTAATTTAATTATGCAGGATCACACTTTCTTATAGATTTTCAACACAACAAGCATGACCTCCTTTTTTTCATTTTCATTAAACAACACAAAGACCACATCTTGCCTAATTTTTTGTAAGGTGCACTAACACAACATGCATGAATATTACATAAACACATTAGACCATACCTTACATGAATATAATGTGCACAAGCACATTAAACCATAACTACATTAACAATTTCAAACTGTGGCATAGATATGCCAACTTGAGAATTTTTAGGATTTTGTTCTATTAAGCTACTTTGAAGCCCGTAAATCTTGTTTTGCTATTAAAACACCCATGGAAGGATAGAAGAATGTTGCGGGCAAGATAAGATTGACCAAATGTGAGATCAACAACTATTTAATAAATTATAATTCCAAATAAGTGTAGATTTATAGTACAACAAGTTTAGACTTATCATGCAAATAAATACATTTTCTTAAAAAATTAAAGAAATAATCCAATGATTACTATTTAATTTGAAATTAACTTTCTAGAAGAAGTAATGAACCTAAAAAATATTTTCTAATATTAAAGCGAAACCATTACAAGCAATATATATTATGTTCTAATAGCATCTACAAATTAACATATCTAATTCCTTGAATAGATGTGTTCCTTACTTTCCACTAACTTTCCTAGGTTTTTCATATCCTAATATGGTAGTACAAGAACTATAAAACTAAAAATCAATTCACTAATTATTATAAATTGTATTAGCCATATTAGAATTGTTATAGACATAAAAGATTATTGTACTTTTTGTATCAAACAAATTCTTAAATTTGATGCAATATTTCTTCAAGTGGCCAGTCATTTTAATAAAAAAATACATGGATTCAATTTTAATTTTAGCTTGGGTGAATAAACTATCCTTCATCTTATTCTTAACTTAGCTTTGACTCTAATCCTTTATGTCTGTAGCTAGCATTGCACTTTCACCTATTTTCAAGGCTAGTCATCACTTTTCTTGTACACACGTGGTCAAGAGCTCTTTATTTGACTATTTATACTTATGTGTGTTATAAGATAAATAGAAGGAACCACACAATTATGAAAAAAGTATCCATAATAGAGTGCACTAAAAATTGCATTGACATATCTATCTCAAGTGTCTTCAATTAAGCTACAATAACCCTCCATTGTCATATGTGCTCTCGGATACATTTTATTTTTGTTAGCTTTAGAATTAAGAACTTCATAATAAAGGTACCAAAAAGAGTTTTATTTAAAGTGCTAAATTATTCATCATTTGCCTAAAGTATTTCTTTAACATTATCATTTTGATTGACTATACTAAGAATACCAACATATATCTGTCTTTATGAACATCAAATTGATGTGATCATAACACTCCCAATATTTATAAAGTGGTCTCATTAGAAATGTTGGTTTCAATAATTACACGGAGATCGTCTTTCTTAATAACATAATCTATATTCATCCACCCAAATATTATAGAAAAACTACTTAAAACTATATAATATAAGTTATATTAATCACTTCTTGTTATTATAATAATTACACCTATGATTATAATAACCAAACTCTTGAACCAATTATTAATTAATCCCATTTATGGTGTCATGACATTGGAATCATTAGTTCATATATATTATAAAACCTTAAATGGTCACTTTTTGTTACTATTAATTACATGATGGCCACTATAGAGAATATTTCTAGATTTATATTCACCATTACTTTATCACATTGTCCAAATGATGTGCAGGGCTACATTAAACTTTTATCATTTGTTTTAATATTTTATGTTTGTACATTGTATAATGGTCCTTTGTGACCAATGATATGATTGGCTTGAGGAGAGAACCAACCATACATTTAAACTTTGAAAGAGAGTAGATGCTCCTCCTTAACATGTAGGGTGCTTTAATTAAATTAATTTGCTATATAGTGATTAATTAAGATAATCAATCATTAAGCAAACAATAATGATAGATAGAGGTGGAGTAGAGTCTTAAGTAAGGCAATGAGCTTATTACTTTTTAAATATAATAATAAAACATATAATAAGTAATTATTTGATTAATTTGCCCCAAGCTAGTTAAACATTTTGACTTGTAATAAATTAACTAGGATTTAATTATGTCTATATTTAAAATTAATTTTGATAAAATGTAAACCTACATAATAAACATAATTAATTTTAAAAATAAAAAATAAGCAGACTCAAATTTAGTATTAATTACAAAAGTGATCACATCAGCATAAAAAATAAAATCATATATGGCCAAAATGAAAAAAAAATATATATTATATAAAGAGTCCTCATGCAAAACTGTATCAGGACTGTAATCACTGTCTGCCAGGTGTACAATCCGACCATTCTTAGTTAAAAAAAACTAAATATTTTAATACATAATGGGGCCGAATTGCACATGCAGCAGATAGTGATTGGAGTCTTGATACAATTTTTCATCAAGACTGCTGATGTAATATTTTTTCACCAAAATGGACTTCAGACTTACTTTTAACAGAAGAAATCAGCAGAAATCTATGAAGCATTAAATAAAAACAACATAAGACTTTTGAATATTACATTTAGTTATGAGTAACATTCATAGATCCTTATGTCCACCATAAGTCTGAAATATACTTCTCCCTCAAATGCATCCGTCGTAAGCGTCGCCACCCCTCTGGCCATTAAGAAATCGCCGGTCCCGCCGACCACCGACACCTCCCTCGTTTTGTTCAGGAACGGATCTGCTCCAATAAGTTGTATGGTACCACGGTGCTCCGTAGAATTAAAAACCATCGAAAAGGCATACCAAGCCGTAAAAACATCTTTTTTATCGTATAGATAAAAGCCCTGCGCTCGGCCGACGGCGGGGGAGCGAAGATTGTTGTGTAGAGTGATGGGATCGTCGAAGATGACGAGATCGCCGAAGTGGTTGAGGATTGCGAGCTTGGAGCGGTTAGCCCAAGCAGGGGCGGCGACAATGGCGGCAGTGGCGTTGTGGGCGTTGTGGCCGTCGAAGAGTATGTCGTGGAGGAAAAAGGTGAGAGTTTTGCAGGGTTTGGGGGTGGGGCGGGAGTTGGTGGAGGAGAGGAGGAGGAGGAGTAGGAGGAGAGAAAGTTTAAATGGATTCATTTTGGTGATGTTGCTTTGTGTGAGAAGTGAGCATGGGGATGGCGATGGGGATGGGGGTTTATATAGGGGGGAAAAAAAGTGATTTTTATTTTTTAAAGATTATGTCTAAAATCAATGTTATTTTTTATATTTTATATTTAAAGGAAAATGTTTTTGGGAAAAATAGGTGAAATTCAAGGCTTGTATTTACAATATGTTCAAATTTGTTAATGCTGATGAAATTCTTCGACATTTAGTTATTTTGTGCCCATCTTAAATGCATGAATTAGGTACTTCACTTCATTACTTTAAATATGATAAAACTAAATTGACACATCTTTATGAAGTTAATAAAAATAATCAAATATGATAGGAATTCTTTATTTATCAATTAATTTTTAATAAATAATTAGTTTTGTTGTGGAGAAAAAAGCTTCTATTTGCAAAAAAAATAGCGTTTGATAATCAATTAGCAGTTCCATGCTAAGAGACTTCCATGGAGTCAAATGGTTCGTTTGAACCCCAATATTTGTCTATAGAACAAGTTCAAAATTTATTACAGAAAATATATTTTTTAAATATTAGAATATATTTTACATCACAATGTTACTCATGCATGAATATTGAGCGAATACAAATATATATATATATGTACGCCACGTACTCAGATCAGTTGGTCGGGCATCTGATTGTCAGTTGTAAGTCCCCTTTGGTGTGGGTTTGAATCCCCCCAAGTGTGGGGTGTGGTACTCGAAATTTTAGGCTCACGAGGGATGACAGGGGCTCGTATAATTGCCTTCGGCGATTTCATAAAAAAAAAAAAAAAAAGGGGGCCCCCTCCCCCCCAAAAAAAAAATCAAATGAAATGCATCGCAATGGCACCCAACTATAAAAAGCTCTTCTTTAATGCCTAATCGTCTTATTTTAGCAACAAATTGTTATAAATTAAAAAGAAAATTCTTAATTAAGTACCATATTTTGCCAAAAGGTCCCACTTTACTTAACATTATTTAAAGAAAAGCTTCTTTAAAAAGCTTTCACTGAGAACATGCTATCTAAACATTTATTTCTTTACCAAAGTCTACCAACCTAAGCAGTTAGTTGTCTACCAAACTATGGGTCCTTCTGTCAGACTACACACTTAATGAAGTTCATGAACTTCATTAACAACTAAGTTTAACTCTAATCTTTCAGAAAATTATACTAATATCTTAACCATCCCTCTCATGAAGTTAATGTATCCTACTAATCCTATAGCATGGTTGCCTTTATCCCTTCTTAATTTAGTGGTTAGTACTGGCAACCACAATGCCAGTGAGAGTTCATTATCTCCTCATCCAAAAGGGTTGTAATTCCCAAAATCACATGCTCCATATTCATTATGGTGGGAGAATTCTTTTATTTGAAGTAAGGTTTGCTATCAATGATGCAAAAAAAATAGTTCTTTTTTCAAAGGGGAGGACCAAGTCATTAATTGGCTAGCATAAGCTCATTGAATTGTAAAAGGAAAGGTTTCTAGAAGTTCTTGATATTGAGTTCTTTGCTATGGATATGAATTTGTGGAATGGAGTTTGATACAAGTTGATAAAAAGAAGTGGAGAGTGGATCAATAATGTAGAGTTGATGTTTTAGTGTAAGTATATGTATTAAATGAAGTCAATTATTTTTTATTACTTTCAAATGGGTTTCTTAAAAATAGAGACACATGCAATAATTTTATTTCTAAAGCTAGTTAGATGCTTGCTCATAAGATATTTGTGAAGATTAGGCATTATTTGGTGAGGTTATACAATATTCAAATGCTATTTTATAAGATTGCAAACACATCAAATTTGATTACAATGATATTGCATATTGAGAGTTAAAAAAGTAGAGTATACATTAATATTGAATATTAATTTGCGCCTTCCATGAACATTTGGTCTTGGCCAAGATGTAAAATTCTTAGCATGAGAGGACTGGTAAGGAATAAAAAAAGCTTTCAACTATCATTAGAGACCAAATCGTCGTACCATCTCACATAAATACTTATGAACATAAATGCATAAGAGTTAGCAAACATGAATAAAAAAAAGAATGTTGGAAGCGTTACTAGTAGATGTTGTTTAAGGAATTGTAATATAGTTCTGTATTTAGTGGAGCATGAATTGATTTTCAATTGTCCAAACATATGTTTGGAGGAACATAACTTCAATTCTAATTTTTAGACCAATCTTAAATTAGGATCGTTTATTATGAATAGAGATTTTATAGTCATTATTTTTAGGCAATATCACCTAAAGTTAAATTTAGTTCATTGATGGAATTTTATATTGATAATCCTATAATAAAATTTCATCTCTAAGAGGCCAATAAATATGAACATAAGAAATCACACTTTATAAATAAATTTTGATGCCACTTAACAATTGTATAATTTAAAATATTAAGAACTAATACCTAGAACAAAATCTCTATGGTATGGCATTAAAACTTGATTTATAATTATCTTGGGCTTGTAGTAATCATGTTTATATATGATGCTCCATTGTAACCTCCAATAGTGGTTTTTTTTATCTCATGAAAGACGTCTCTTGACTAACTTGTATTATAATTTATGGATGCTATGGTCGAAGTAAAGATGACATTCATAATACTATCCAACTAATGGTGCATCAATGAAGAAGTAAGTGTCATCCCAAAAGGGGTTGGTGAAAATATACCTGATAGTATATGTGAATCTAGCAAGTAGTTTGAGTTAGTGCTTATTGTCATGACAATGATCGATACGAACATAATAATGATTGAGTTAGTGGTTTTTGTCTTGATATTTCACATCAGCTTGAAAATATGCATGTTATTCTCTCATAATTGGACATGGTGATGATAATAATTAACCTAAGTTGTATTTGCCTTCCCCACGTCATTCACTATCCTAAATTTTGGTTACCTATGCTCCAATCAAATCATATGACCTAATAAGTGCCAACTAATAAGGGTTACAAATGACTGCCAAATTATCACCTCACATATTCTGCCACCCAAAGTAAAATTTGGATGTCGTGTCACCCTTAGAGCATTTGAGTAATGTTTGGTCATGCAATTTATAGTTATTATCAGTGGTATAAAATTTGACTGGATTAAAAGTCAAGAAATATTTAAGTTTTGTAGCAAATCATTAATCTCATTTCATTAGATCATTTAGACATTGAACTCCTTCTCCATTACTTGATTCTTATTCCACCTAAATAAGGAAATTAATCAAAGGCACAAATAATTTAATGTACTTAAATCCCATAAATTATAAATATTGTGTTTGCTATCGATATCACAATCTTTTCTCTTTAAACTCTCTTAGGTGATGTAGATAAAGTGGGTTAACTGCTCATACAGATATACCTAAATTTTTGATACCTTGTTTTGTGCCAATTTATTTCATGTTAACTATTTTTTTTTCTTTTCACTATTTAAAGTTTAATATTATGTTTATTTTATTTTCCAATGTTTAGCTATTTTTATTTTAATAAGATATTTATCTATTTTTTAGCATTATAAGTAATAAAACAAAAGATTTCTAATGGGATTTGTCTTTTTTAATGAATTGGTACCTTTTTGTTAAACGATTTTTTTGAAGTCATATGTTGTTTATTTTGAGAATCATTTTCACAACTGTATTTTAGACCTGAATTACAATTTATTGGGTTTTTATAGATTTTTAAAGTAATATTTTTCAAGTTATAATAAAATTTATATTTAAAATATGACAAATTCAATAATTACTTCTATAACCTTTCATTAAATAATTAATTAGTTTTTTATTATAAATTCCTAAATGCATTACCAAGAATTCATCTCGTGTTTTTTTGTAAAATATTTTGTGTATTTTAAAAAGTTTATTGAACTCATAAAATTGACAATAAAATAAAAAACTTTTAAAATATTATTTTGATATTTTATAAAATAATTTTGTATGATAATTTATCTAACAATTTTTAATACTTAGTTGTACATACCAAAATATTTAAATTCCTAAAGCATGCTTGGTGATCACATATGTTAAGATTATTGATATTTTTATGCTTCCATACCAAAAATATATGCATAGAAATGAGAAAAAAAAGAGGGAGTGTAGAAGGCTATGTGGTTGTGTAGTTGTATATTATTTGCATTCAATTAGAGTTATTAGCCTTTATGCACCTATTTAGTCATATATATATATATATATATATATATTTTAGGGACATTTAAACATTGATATTTACATGCAAAACACTAAAATATTTACTTTTACATTAAAAAAAAATTATAATTACTATTTTTTAAAAACAAAATACATTTATTATGCATAATTTTGACATCAAAATGATAAAACTAATAAACTTAAAACTTAGATATTAAATACATAACTGCATAGAATAGTGTGACATGAATGTAAATTTTCCCAAAAAATTAATAATCGTACAATTATCTCTATAGATAATTGGCACCAGAAAATTTGATTTGAAAATTTGGATCTATAGCATATTTAATTGTGACATAGTAGTTGAAGCTGTAGAATCCCACTCTGAGATCACAAATTCGATCAGACAAAATGGTTCTGCCCCCTTCCTTCCTTAGTCGCAAAAAACCAAAAACTAATCGTTATCATTAAGGGTGAAATGAGTCGAACAGAAGCAAGTTTAGAGCTTGTTCGTGTTCAGTTTGTTAGAAATTTTCGTTGTTCGAAATGAACATGTGTTCAAAATAACTTGTAAATAACCAAGATCGTAATCAGTTCAGTTTATATTTGAATTTTGCTCAAATTAACTCGTATACGACTTACTTTTGAGCTAAACTATAGATTGCATATTATATTCGTTTCAACTCAAATAAATTTTTTATTTTAAAACATTCATTTTATCCTCACTTCATAAGTGAGTGCAAATAAAACCCGAATGAATTGCTGATGATGTATCTTCTTCTTATTTATTTTTATATCGAACAACTAGATTTATATTTTTTATAATTATATCACTAAAATAATATTTTAAAAAATAAAAATATAATATTTTTTGATACATATAAAAAATTTATATAATAAATATATAAATAAATATTATTATTTAATATTTATATCAACTCATTTATAAATCAAACTTAATATTTATATTTTTTATATTTAACTCAATAAATAAATCAAACACCAACTATTTTTAACGGCCCACAATTATGATTCTCCTTCATAAACTCCAGCTGAAACCATCATCAGCCAATCGTCGCGTGCCACGTCATCTCGAGCTTCCACCCAAAACCGATTCAACGGCAGCATTTCCCGAAACGAACCGAGGCATCCGGCCGAACCCAGCTAGAGTACCCGACCGAACCGCTAGGGTTCGGCGGGACGGGCCGAAGCCATAGAAGGAGCTGCGGGATTCAGGAAGTATCCAGAAGCGCTGGAAGCCAGCGATATGCAAGGAAATTTCAAGCGGAGCTGGAGAGCAGTGAAAAGAGAAAGACGAAGCAGAATCAAGCTGGTATCGAATTCACCCGGTTTTGTGGATCGATTGCAAGGTTTTCAAAGTTTAGATCGTCAGCGATTTGTAAGTTTTCAATTCCTCGATGTCTCTTTATTGATTCCATCTTTGGTTTAAGTTTCTGGGAGCCTTAGGTTGCGTGATGAATTTGTGAATATTGATGAGTTTATTGATTAGTGTGCGAAATGATACATCGGCAAGTTTTTTAGACTGAATTTTTTTTTTTTTTTGTGTTTTATACAATGAATCTTGCAATGAATCTTGTGAGTTCAGATTCTTCGAATCTGGCTATCGGCATGTTTTATCAATATCTGCATTCCATCCAAATCACAAATTGCCATTATTGTGAGCTTTTTCAATAATAATAGAAGAGCTATTAGATTCCAACTAACTGATACGTTCCTCGGTAATGAATGAAAAAGAGCTGTTGATGCCAATTTAAATCATGCTTAAGAGATAAATTTCAATCCGTGATAGCATTTTAAGAATGCTTTTATTAAAGGAATGGTCAGTAGCTTAATTATGATGCCATTTGAAAATGATAAAAACATGTTTAACTTAAATCTATATTTATCAATAATATGAATATTTGATCCTTGGACGCATGCCTAATGAAGCACAATTCATTTCTAAAAACGACATCCGATGAGCAAAAATTCCTACAAAGTGTATTATGCACGTGAATTCATGTAAAAATGTATGTGTCAAGCGCGCATATTTGAAAGCCAGTAATGTTTTATATTAAAATTTTATTATGATTATATTTATTTTGAAATTATTCGAATTAATTTTGAACCCAAAAAGCCAAACACTTGTCTATTTTGAATATATATGTATATGTATGTATATGTATATATATGTATATATGATAGATACATATTCTGTACAAGCCGAATATGAACAAGCATTTCATCTGCTCAAACTCGCTTGTTTAAACACCGGGCTAGAAAACATAAAACTTTTAAGCTCTTACCTGCCTAAAGATTTAGTTGCCATATGTTTTTTTCAACCAAAAATATCGAGATTTTGGGTTGCTTCTTACTACTGCAAGCAACGTCTTTGATTTGTATGTTTGGTCTTCAAGACTTTCAGCATCTTTTTTCTTATTAATTGATATCTGTCTTATATATCAGCAGGTTCGGAAAAGTACCCAATCTATCACCAAAACCAGCCATAAATCTTCCCTAGTTTCAGGAACATGGATGCTTGCTCTCACCAGTTACCTTTTCTAAGAGAGCAAATTCCTTATCCATACCATTGTTATCCCAATTGGGAAGCAAGACCCCTGCACATGAAGATGGACACTTCATCTTGTGGACCTTGGTCATATAATAATCAAGTAGAACACCATAACTGTTGCAATCACAACTACCCCTCTTGTTTTTACGGCTTTAGACCTCCTTACTTCCAATACCAGCATCCACCTCAAATGTGCTACCATGGCTCTTGGCCTCCCTACCATGATGCCTACCCACCTTTCTTCGTTCCCATGGATTTTAATCATGCTAAATTTGATTACGACAATGACAAAAATCAATTTTGTGGTTTTTCAAATCATCTTTCCCATACGAAAGAAGGTAACAATGTAAAAATTGAAGAACAGAACGCTTCCCCAACAATTGAAGAGGGAAGAGTAACAATGCCTAAAGGCAATCACAGTAGCTTGATTCAATACCCTTGTAATCATTATCCAATGATGTGGCTTCCTGATAGCGTTACAAGCAATGGAACCAAAGAAAAGTTTATGGAATCGTGGCCTGTGGTTAATTTCAAGGATAATCTCAGGGACATGAGACAGGGACATGGGGAGAGTGCTAATGAAGATGGCAAAAAGGTTATACAGTTTCCATATCCAATATTCTGGCTGCCTGATACTGAGAAACAGGAGAGAGGTTTGAGAGATAAGAAAGAGATAGATGCCACAGCAAAAGCCGCTGACTCCGCGCCTTCCAATTTGAAGGTTGTTCCATTAAAGCTTTTGGAGAATGAAAAGCGTGTTGAGAAGCCAGAGGCTGTGGAAGAAGAGGCTAAAGCTCAGCACAGTATGGACAGAGTAGCTGAGAAGGAGAGGAAAATTAAGACTATTCCTGTGGTGCATCTTGATAGTGTGAATGGGGAGAAGCCTTGTCAGCTTGACAGGCCAGAAGATGTGCTGAAGAACTCTATTGCTGAAAAGGAAAAGTATGATGTTGCAAAGAAGAAAGATTCTGGTAATAAGCAACCCTCCCCATTCGAAGGCATCAAAGCTTCCTCCTGTTTGCTTGAGAGTGGACCCCCTGCCAAAGAAAAATGGATCAAATGGGAAGAATCGTTCTCCAAGCTCACCTAGCTTGAAAGAGAGAGCTAAACCCCTTGAAGGTAACAATGAGCAATTTGCCATCATGAAGAATGATTCAGACAATGTTCCCATTAAAGATATTAAAGTGATAGATGTTAACTACCAACCATCAGGTCCAGGAGGTGAAGGCACAGCTGCAACAATTGTTTCTGGACAAGGTATGGAAGGTATTTAAGAACATAATGGTGTGGAGGATAGAAAAGATGTTCCAACTGATGTTGTTGTTCCAGTTGAAGGTAATTTGGGCAACAATTATGAAGAAAAAGGGGATATTTCAATTAGTCAACAACAGAAGCTTGAGCGGAAAGGCGAGAAAGTTGATCTTTCAGATGATAATAAGAAAGAGATGCAGAAAAAATATTCACAAGAGGATGCAGCTTTACTCATCCAGTCTGCTTTCCGGGGATTTGATGTCAGAAGATGGAAGCCTTTGGAGAAACTTCGGTAGATTGCTCAAATTCGTGTAAAAGCAACTGAAGTCAAGAGCCAAATTCAAAATTATGCAAGTTTTGCAGAGCTGGACTTGAAGCATTAAGTTATTATGAGTGAGACCATAATGAATCTGCTACTACAACTGGATACCATCCAGGTATGTTAAAATCTACTTTTTTTTATTCAATTTTGATATACTTTGAGTGAGCATGGCTGCTGTTTCTAAGAAAAATGGCCTTGCGACTGCCATGCATATTTACATATACATGGAGGTTTGTCCATCTCATTATATGATAATTATTTGGCAGGGTTTGCATCCAAGCTTGAGAGAGGTTAGAAAATCAGTTGCAAGAGATCTTGTACACTTGCAGGACAAGCTTGATCAGTTGTACAGCCAAACCACCAAAAAGCCGGAAGGAGAGACTCAGAAAGAAGAAATCAGTACTCGTGACAATACTGCCTCTTCTATTTCTTCAAATTCAGTTGAAAAAACTTCTTTGATTGAGAATATCTTATCGGATCAGCCTCCACATTTGGAAGAAGAAAACGTCTCTGTTCAGGAGAGTGGTGGATCTTCAACAGCATCTGATAAACCATCATGTGTAAGTTTAGAAGATGATGTGCAAGAGCCAGAAGGCCAGCGTCACGCCATGTCTGTTAAAATGCTGAACGATGAGGTCGTTCCATCTGGAGATGGGAAGAATGTAAACCGTCACCATGAAGATGAGAAGTCTATGAGCCAAGATGCTGTAGTACATTCACCTCAAAGTGAAATATCAGAAACTGTGAAGGCCCCAGATCTGAATGATTTGAAGCATAACTCAAATCAAGCAAATCACTCCAACTCATTATTGGCGGTGCAGCAAATCAACGCACCTGATGAAAAAGACAAACAATCATTGTTGGAGGAAGTACCATTGAAAGCAGAATTGACGTCAGAGAAAGGAATTTTTATGGAGGAAGGTTCAGACATCAAACCAGAGGATGCTATTGCTGAACAAAATGAGGAAGCTATTGTGGAAGAAATTGATGCATTTGAGGAGTTGAAGCCTTCCTTTAAATATCACAAGAATGAACTGCCCATTACTTCGGTAGCTTCTTCAGGCAAAATTGATTTGAAGGAAACTACATCAGATTCGTCTGATGAGTTGAGCAGTGAAAGCAATCTTACAGAATCTTCACAACATGAGAAAAATACGTCAGATGCCTTCTTGCAGCATGAAATGAACTATAAAGAGAAAAAACTCCAGGAGGAAAATGAAAAGCTAAGGCAGATGCTGGAGAAATTACTACACGCGGATCAGGAACAAATGGCGGCCATTAATGGCCTGATAGAACGAGTGAAGAATCTGGAGAGGAAACTTACAAAACGGAAGAAAGTGGAAATTAATCGGAGGAAGAAGTTAGACAATGTTATGAGCAAATAGTGAGTTATGCTGCTTTGACTGTATAATCTACCCTCCTTATACCTAATAATCTTGTGCTGTAATTGTTTTGTATTCCAAATACTACATCTTCCTATGGTTTAGTATCATTATCTCTTTTGCAGAATTTGTTTGCCTCAAGTTCAATTTACTTACCTTGATTTAATTTCTAATATTCTGATGGATGCTATCGAGGTCGCAATGCCTTAATATACAAAACAATCATGTCTTAATTTTGAATGATGGAAGCATTGTTCAGCTATTTGATCCATAATAATGTGCACTAGAATCTTATTATAGAGAAAAAAATTTCACATGAGGAGATACAAAATAGATAAATAAATAAATTTATGAACATTAACCTAAGGATATAACATATTTTGAAACATCAAACAATTAATAATTAAAAAAATAATAATGCTTGAATTATGCATTAGATACATGTTTTGGACCTTTGATTGCTTTTCATTTCTATTTAGAGAAGAAATAGGTAATTTTTGCATCACGTGTCCAATTAAGGATCATTTTAATAAAAAAGGTAATTTAATATATGAGTGGGTCTGTCTATATACGTGGTAGACCCTGATTGAAGTCTAAATGTATCAGGACTCTTGATGTAATAATTTTTCTTTCTGGAGAGACGTTGAAGATACTAAAGTCTGTATATTTTTGAAGACGGTATGACTTATTAATTATCACTCATGCAACATAATAACGGTTAATTATATATAATGAATAAAAATGATATGGTTCCCGAGTGCTCGAATATATCCTTTAATAGAATTAATCAAATCTTCATCACTATGATATGGATGTTTAATTTATGAGAACAAGCTATTTAAGAATGTCAATTATACATGCTTAAGGCTCGAGCATGGAAAATAAAGTAAAAAAAATCATAATCAACCTCGTTACTGTTCTGCCATAAATAAAAGTTTAGCCTTCAATTAGTATTGCAATTTCAACCCTCTCTATTTTCGAATTTGCTATTAGACCCTTGTATTATAAATAAGTGTGAGATCAACTCATGTACTGTGAGTAGTTTAGAAATATTATTATTTAGCTTATTAAAGTTCATTATTTGACAAAGCCTGTTCAACATTTTATTTTGTAGTAGTTAGTGAAGGAATTTAAAATGGGTAGGGTAATAAAGACGTATAAAACCTTGTAGAGATATCCATGAGAAACTTTGGAGGCTTAAAAGTAAACTTGTATGGTAGCAGAACTTCAAAATTACAAGTAAAACTAATGATGAGAGTAATTAGTACATCAATAACAAGTGTATTTGGTTAAACTACTTAAATATTAATATAGGAAAAAAACATAGATGTTAGCTGGACTCAAGAATTGACATCTTATAGTTCACATTGTAAGGAGAGTTTGAAATGGACATGATTGGGACCATCGGTTGGTTGACCCTTTTAGGAAGGCCAATCGGCTGGATTTCTAAAGATCGCCGGTGAGATCGATTCGGGCGGTTGATATTAGTTGGCTGGATGCATTAGTCTAGTAGTCAATCCTCAATTCTTGCAGGTTAAGACAAGTTAGGCCATCAGGCAGAGGGTGTCATTTGGAAGTATAACATTCAGTTGGTTCAGATGATTTATGGCGACCGTAAGCCGATCGGATCTTCTTGGCCCCTAGTTCATTTTTATGGTGGGTTCAACTTTGTCACGTCATTCTTTCATAAGCTATCAGATTGCTTTGAGATTTGTGCAGACACATTATTTGTGTACATATTTAATTTATTGATTTTCTTGCTTCTCGGAAGTTATGCTGCGATAAGAACAAGATAATTTAATACAAGAAAGTGAGAGATACTTATGATTACTTAATGATGTAATAACAAAAATCCACTTGAATTTTGTGACAAAGATTCCTATAAATAAGGAGTAAATAGTGTGTTTTTTTCATCTTTCTTTGATTTTCTTCATCTGGTTTGTTTGAATTCTGATTGTTAACAAGGTGAATGAGTTGTTTTCCAATATAGATAAGTACATCAAAGTGTCTTACCAAAGGGCTTTCGAAGACTTGAGGCGGGAAAAAAAATCTCTCCTGGAAGGGGATCAAAAGTAGGTGTTGATGAAGAAGTGAAAGAAACCTGATTTAGAGGACAGGTGGGGTCGTCAGAATCTCTCCTTGGTTACACCCATGAGAAAGTGTAGGTGGAGGATGGCGCCTGAGAGAGGGACTATGAGGAGAAAGGTTGCTTTGAAGAGGTGTCCCGGGCAGAGGAAGGTGGCTGCCCCAAAGAATGGTAAGTCGGTTCATTAGCTCCTATTCAGACTCCAGTGCCGCCATCCGTGGTAGTAGGGCAAGAAACTATTGGAGCTTTAGTGCCGCATGGTGCGCTGAAAGTCGTTGTTTAGGGAAACGTGTGAGGAGTCGTTGGTCTTCCGCTATAGTCCAACGTAAAGGTGATGTTGATCTTCCTCAGCTAGCCGGGGGAAAGAGGACTGGTGAGGAAGGATTCTCTTTTATTATTTTGGAATGAGACCAAATGATAGGTATGGAGGGATTGTTTTTTGCATTATTATTTTCTTTTTGTGAAACATTCTTTATATTATCTTCAAAAGCATTTGACCCGATCGTCGGAGTGGCGAACATCGAATCCCTTTTGATAGAGGCGAAGGAAGATGTTGATTCAGTCATCGATGTAGTAGTCGACTGATGGTCTACCAAAGGTGTTCCACTCCAATTGAGGCTGAAAGTAGCCGTCTAGGTCCCCAGAGAAGGCTTAAATTGAGGTGGTCAGCAAACAAGAGTCTCCCAACTTGATGGAATGTCGCTACTTGAAATAGAAGATTTGTTCATCTGGGCGGCTGAATTTAGTTGAGTCAAAGAGCTTCATTTCTTGATTGAGCAGAAAAAAAATTCAAAGAGCCTGGAGGAAGAAGTGGCTACGATCCGTGCACAGGAAGCTACACTTTACAAGGAAGTAACAATTCATTGAAAGGAGCTGTTGGCCATTCGGGAGGCATCTTTGGCTGCCCGGATACAAGCTATAGCTTTATATTAGAATGCAAACTTTTTAATAAGCAATTATTTCAGCGAGGTCATATCAGTGCTGAAGCAGTTGCTGATGGACTTGTAAAATATTTTCTAGAGTAATCGTTGAGTGATTGATGTAAATATTTTTATTACAAAATAAAATTTATATTTTATATCTGTGGTTTTGAGTGTCAAATGACATTGATGCACTCGCATTGCTTTGACTTCCTTCCATTCTCTATAAATAAGGCAGAGAGTGTAGGAAACCTTGCTCGACTGTTCTATTTTATTTTGTTCTTTCAATTGATTATTTCCTTCGATCGCTTTTTTGCATCTCAATTTTCATGACGCCCAAGTATTTGCAAGAGTTCTTTTGCTCTATCCCGACTGAGGAATTTGTTGGCATCAATTTTTGGATGTCATAGGTGTAAGTTGTCCACCTGCGATCAACGAAAATTAGTTATTGCATCACAGGATTTTGGCTTGAATTGGCCCGATCACTTGACGAAGTGATCCCGAATGACTCTGAACGACGAAACGTATCACGCGAGTGCATCCGGAATGTCGATTTCATTTACGGGAGATGTTCACTTCGCTACGGCGTCGTGGGCGGGGTAAAAATGTGCGAATTATCGTTTTGGGCATAATCGTCAAAAAAGTGGCCCAAATAATCCCGAATGAAGAAACAGACTGCATCAATGCGTCCGAAACGTCGATTTTAGCCAAGAAGGACATCCACTTCTCCGCGAGGACGTGTACGGTGAAGAATACACGGAGGATAATTATAATAATATAATAATAATTATTATTATAATATAATATAATATATATTATTATTATATATAAAACCTTATCTCTCCCTCTATCTCACGAAAAATTATTCCATGCGGATCGGATGAGATAAGGGGTTCACCTAAAATTTTTTATTTTTTTAAAAAAAATGGAAATAATCCTGACCGTAGATCACCGTGATCTACGGCCAGGATCGAACACCGCATGCAGAGATGCATGCGGTGTCCGCACGCAATAATCTCTCCTATCTCACGCAGAGAGCTCCTCTTCCATTCTCCCGAACGCATCCCTCCTCCCTCCGGATCGCACGCGACAACTGCTTTCTCCGGATCGCGACCCACCGCGACCCCCCTACTCTCGGCCTTTCGAGCCGCACCCGTTCTTCTTCTTCTCCTAATTTTTCTTCTTTTTCTCTCATTTCTTTTTCTTCTTCTTCTTCTTCTTCTTCTTCTTCTTCTCCTTGCCCCTCTCTCTCTTCTTCTTCTCCTTTTTTTTTTTTTTTTTTTTTCGAATGACTTAGGTTATTCTTCTTCTTCTTTTCCTCCTCTTCTTCTTCTTTTTCTTCTTCTCCTTATTTTTCTTCTTTTTCTTCCATTCCTTTTTCTTTTCCTAATTTTTCTTTTCTTTTTCTTCCATTTTTTTTCCTCCTAATTTCTTCTTTTTCTTCTCTTTCTTCTCCATCTTCCTCTTCTTCTTTTTCTCAGCCAACCCCGCCAACCTTGCCATTTTACTTTTCCAGCGGCCGGACGCTTCGCCAGAGCACTTCGACGTCGTCGGACAGCGAGTGTTACCGCTGTTCGAGAAGGCGCGTGCGTCTTTCACCTCGTAGGTTCCCCTCCTTCGCATTCATCGAGCAACCTCCCACGCGAAGGTATATTTTGGTTATACTTTTATATGCCAAAATTATTATTTTTGGATATTTTGCACTCACTGATCCCTTCCACTCTTGTCCTTATTGGCTCTGTTTTTGTTCTGTGCACGTTTTACGAGGCACACTAGAGCACAGACTGGATGTTGACGGCTTGGAGCAAGTAAAGAAAAAGCATCTGCAACCTTCGCGGTGGTGAGAACCCCTAAACTCCTAGCTAGCCCTAGGTTTAGTGGTGTCTAGGCGTGTGAGTTCGATCGCCCACACAGAGTGCGTGCGCCGGCATGGGTCGGCGCGACGACGTGCCTGCGTGATGGATCGTCAATTTCCTAGAGCTAGTCTTTAGGTTAGGTCTTTCTGTGCGTAACCAAACGTCCTCCGTAGAGCCGAGTGTCCCCCATTTGTTGTGAGTCTTAGCACAGGTCCCGATCGGTCGGAGTCCCTCACTCCCATTGCTTTGGGTTTCC